CAGAAGCCCTCCAGATTCGAGGGTTCAATTCCAAACCTTCCCTTGTCCCAGAACCTTCTATACCCTCCCTATATAAGCACCCTGGTAATAAAGGAATCGGCCATTTTGCCGGACATGTAACATGCGTGTACGTGTCTGTTTCCCAAGCAAGATGCGCGCTGGGTCGGATGAATGGGCATTTTAACCCCCCATTTCATCAGTTTGTAACACCTCCTGAACTCCCAGTGGTCACTTTGTAATGCACCCAAAAGGTATTTAAGCTTTGACCACAGCAATAAAGTTCTCTCTGCCTGTTTCCCTGCTACCTGGCTGTCGGCGCCGTGGCTCTCTCTCTGGGGGGTCATGAGCAGCCACGGGGTAAAGGCGGGGGCGGGGAGGGAGCACTCTCCCCCCTGGAGCTAGGGGCAGAAAGCCTCTCGCCCGGGGATCCCTGTCCTGTCCTTCAGCGTTCGCATCCTGCCCTGAGTGGCTGTTGCAGGTTGGCTTGACGGAGAGCTCAGGAGACAGATCCTCATGTGAAATATGGCAGGTTGTCTAAGCAGTCTGAGCTCCTGCTCATTACAACCTTTCCTCGTCCTTTTGTTGTTGTTTTTCGTGCTGTTTCATTACTCAAAAGACTATATCAATGCAGTTCACTTTTTCATTTTAACAGCTCATTCTTCCTTGAGTTCTTACAGCTTATCTGAATTTTCCCTGCTTCCTTAATATAAGTTCCTCAGTCTTATTCAAAACATCAGCACTTTACACTATAGATTATAGGCCAAGGCTTTATCTGGGGATCAGGAAAGACACTAATTTTAAAATGTAGTGCAGAGGTCTCAGCACACGAGATATTATTAAGGTCACAATGACCAGGTCTCTCACCAAGGTGGAAGTACAAGTACATATTTTCTGCACTTTTCTACAGTCTGCTGACACAGCTATGTGATACAAAATGCAGCTGTGAGTTTTTGGAGAACACAGGTGTGGTTTAGTGAACTCTGATGCTTCACTATTCAGCAGAAAAGAGATTTGCTTGGAGTGAAAAGATCTTGATGGTCTGGTTAGCATATTCTGTCAAAGCTGCATGAAGATGCAGGCTTTGTTGTATAATGTATACAATTTTTAACTCCTCTAACAACATGTGGAGTGAGTGGATGTTAAATGTCTCCTCTCCTGGTGGTTCTTTTAGAAAACAACATGGTGGTGTCTTCCACAACTACCATACAGAAATAAGAAGCTTCTGTCTTCCATGGATTAGCCAATATAGCTCTTGTTGGATTTTTTTTTTTGTTTTTGGTATGACTATGAGATGGCTAAACATTTCTTGTGTGGTCTTCCCCTCTGTTTGTAGCTTCTGGCACAAACATGTTTTAAAAAATACATATTTATACAGAGGAAATCAACCTTTTGCAGAGCCACAGACACGAGGTAATGTAGGTCCTGCTCAGGCGTTCTGCCTGATTGGGAGCTGCCGGTTCTGTGTGGGACCCTGCTGTGGCCAAGAGATCATTTGGTGTCTGTGGGAGCCCACCTGTACAGAGCAGGGTGAGGCCAAAGCCTTGGACATAATGCATGACTGAGGGGGTAACTGAAGGGGTTTGCTTTTCTGACCACATGAATTAGTGAAGATCCAGGAAAAAGAGGAAAATGGAGAAGTGGGATTCAGCTTGGGCACTTGAATCTAAGACTAGTTTTCTTTTTTCACTTCCATTTAGGTGAGCTGTATTTTATGTCTACCTCTTATCCCAGTGCCTATGCACCACAAGGATCGCTCTACAAGCTTATTGATCATGCAAGGTTTGTAGTTAAAGATGTTTTTCCAGGCCAAGTTCTTCTATAATCACCATATGCTCTCCAGCTATCACAGTAAAAGAATACTAAGTACTGCTGATAGATAATCTCACTGACATCCACATTCCATCCTTGGTTTTTGTTCACCCACTGTACACCTGGTGCAACTTTAATCAGTTTTAGTGAATTTATTCCTTACTCCTCGTGTCTGTGCACACAGAAATAGGGAATAAACAGAGCTCAAATACCTTGGAAGATCTAGGAGAGTTAAGGATTAGAAGAGTGTCTCCTTGATTACATATCTGAAGTATAGCACAGTGATATTTTAAAAACAACAGTCCTTCAGGGTCATTACATCAAATATCTATGATGCACTTTAGTATAAAATATATTTATAAATAAATAAGTAAATTGCACTCCACAGTTTCCTTTTTTTCACAAAAATGAGTGAAACCTGGTGGTTCATGCAGTGTTTAAATAATAACTGGAGTCTGAACCTGAGTTTTTCCAAGCAAAATGTCTTTCCCCATTAAGCAGTTATCCTTGCTAAAGTCTGTTTTTCCAATAATAAGCACACTTACATGATTTTTTCCTCTCCCAAGATTTTGGATTTTGCTTAAAAGCTTTAAATGGGTTTCAAATCACCCTGTAAAGTTTACAGTACAAATGTGTCCGTGCTGTTGCAGAGACCTCAGACACTAACAAAATGAAGACACCAAGTTATGTTTTCTTGTGAAGTTAAATCCAAAGCTAGGTGGTAAACTCAAGCTTGTACCAAGGTGATGGGAATAGAACTTTTGAGTCTTTTACTTGCGGTAACTGCTTGAGGAGACTCCTGCCTTTAACACTTACCATCTGCCAGGAAGTTTTTAACTGCATTTTAACTGTGGCTGACCAAAATACAATATTTTCAACTAAAAAAAATCTGGTTTTGTGAGCCTGCATAAACATCAAGAGCTTGTGCATGCTTTATTTCACCAAAGGAAAAAATGCTCTGTAGTCTCTACGCCACTCCCTATTTGCCATGAAGACCTTGTGCTTTTGAAGCTTCGTGTCCCTCACCTCCAGAGCAGGATCAGGCACTTATTCCCTTGGCTCTCTGGAATTTATTCTTGTATTCTGCTTCACCTCGTTTACCTTAGCCCGGAAGCTGCTCTGTCAGCTTTGCCCTCGTCTGTTTGTTTAAGCATGTTGTGGGCTTGTCCAGGGTGTGCTCTTCTGGAGCCTGAGCGTGCTTGGCCCTGGGGCAGAGTGTCCTAACACCTCCAGCTCCTGGGCTGCACTCTGGCCTCCTTCCGACTGTATCATGAGTAGAGATTTTTCCTTTCTCCTTTGCATTTTAATGCTGTTTATAGGACTCTTCCGTTACTGTCTTGCTGGGATAACTGGCTGCCCTGATGGGAGCAGTCCCAGTCTGCCCAGCCAGGCACTCCCTGCCTCCTGCCTACACGTCAGCCAGCATGCTGGCAAGGGCAGCAAGCCACACAAATACCTGCTTTCAGAACATTGCCAGGGCCACTGCCATGTACCTGATGGCCACTCAATCTTCCCTGGGAACCTGCCAGGAAAACGGATGACAGCAGTGCCGTTTGTCCCCACTTTGGCTTGTCTTTCCAGCATTACTCTTGGAGACAGCAGAGTGGTGCTGGGATTGGCATCAAATTCCTTCAATCATAAGCAGGGGGGAAATGAGTTAGGAAGTGATTAAAAAATTAGAGAGGAGAGAGAGGGGGGAACCTCCCTCCCCTCCCAGTCCCCGCAAGCAATGCCAACAACCCTGCTTTAGTAAGTATGGTTTTTTTTAATCAAAATGGTATGGAGGAAGCACTTGGCTCTTGCCACTGTCTGAAGGAGAATGCTAATCACAAGAAAATGTGATGCCTTAGGTTATGCTTTGCTTTGTTCTGTGCTGTCAAGCATGCCAGATTGGAAGAACCCGTTCTTAATTGTCCTACAGCAGTTCCCTTGGTGGGTAAGGGAAATCACAGGTGTGTTGTGCTTCTTTGTACCCCTTAATATGTGACAGCTTTACCTTGGGGAAAATGTGGGTTTGTTGGGGTTTTTTTTGGTGCTTTTGTACTGTGGGAAATTGTCAGGGAACAGCAGGAGAAGAACATTGACATATTTTCTTTGCAGTTGTTCTTCCCTCACTCTTTGCCTGTTTCTTTCCTTTCTCACCCCTCTCACTGAAGCACTCTTTGAAGGTCACACTAGTGTTTGTGGGGCTGTGTGGGAACACTCTGCTCTGTGTGCAGAGATTCTTGTGCTGCACTGTGAGGGAGGGCAGAGAACTGTCCCTGACAAGCCCCGTGTGCATGAGTGAGACTCTCCCGCCTCAAGGTGGGATGCACAAAGCCAGTATTGGTGAGGACAACCTAAAGTGACTGATTTCTGAAATTGAAAGACCTTGAATTCAGTGGTGGGCAGTAAGTCCACACAGGCAGGCCAGCATCCCCCACACAAACAAACAAACCAGCTGCTGGTTTGGATAAAGACAGTCCAGGCTGTCTGATGACAGGAACTTGACAAGAAGAGCAAGAGAAGAGAAGAGAAACTGCAGCCTTCCAGCTGCTTTTGGGACAGGGATTTTGTGGCTTGCAGCCCTGTGCTAGGATCTTGAATTCCACCTGTGTTTCACTCCAGGTGCGTAAAGTGCTTTCATGCCTCTTCCACCAGAGGCAAATGACAACAGGGGATTGATATGTGCCTATAGAATAAATAAAGTTCCCTAACCATCTCTGACATCTACATATGGGTTTCTGTTTTCCAAGGAGAGCTCCACCAGGGAAGTGTAAATACAAGCCTGTTCCAGGGAAAACAAAGAGTAAGCAGATACCATTTGTTCCACGTGCAAGTAAGTTGTCAGGCTTTGATTTTACTGAGAAGCAAAACATGTAGCAAATTACATCTTTCCAGGATGGGATTGGAATCTTTAGCAGTCTTGAAAACTAAAGCACTGAGCAGGACCAATCTTGAAGTTTGGCTATCACATTTAACATGTGCTTCTGCCATCTAGTAGATGCCATACTTTTTCTTAATCCCAGTCTCTGATTTCTTGTTTCCTAAGTGTTGCCAAATAATAGTGTACACGGGCATCACAAGGGCACTGGTGGCTTTGATTCAGGCATTGGATTAGGCCTGGGAAGTTCTGAGTGCCTATGCCTGACCCTGTGACAAGCTCCTTGAATCAAATAATCCCTTCTCTGTACTTCTAGGGGATTCAATCTTCCTTCCTCCTGGTGATCTTCTGTCTTAAAGTCTCATGCAACTAGGGAAGGAGTTCCATCTTGAGTAGAAATGGTGTTTAGCAAGTTGAGGTTATCTCATCTGGGATTTCCAGATATTAGTGTAATATGAAAAATTTGTATTGTTAAGTCTGCCAAAAAAGAGTGCAAAATTTCATTATACTCTGCCTGGAAGTAATTTTCCTTAAATATACATTCGTAATTTCTAAAATTAAACATTTTATTTCCAAGAAAACCAAGGGTCTTCTGATGGAAGAAGAGAGGTTTATAGTACGCATTTCTTCTTTCAAAATGTCAGCTATTTTTCTAAACTGTAGCTCTACTAAGGGTTTCTATCATTTGTATCTCTGAATTAGCCTTTTGCCTTAAAGTAGGGATGCTGAACCATGTTATTACTTTCCTCAGAGACTGTCCTTGAGCTGCTTAATGAATCTTCAACAGCCAAGCCTCCAAAAACATCTTCTACCCTTCCTGCAGCCATCTTAACAGTTTCTTCTAAGAAAGCAAAAAAACCCTCATCCACCAAAATAAAAGCATCAGCAGTGCAACCAGCTCCATCTGGTAAAGAGAGAAAGAGAATCAAAGCTGAAGCTAAACCTCACAAGCCAAGGCAGGGAGAAAAGGTTGCACGCAACTCCAGAGCTACACTAGCACCACCTCTGCCTAGAAGGAAGAGCTCCCACCTAGCCAGACCCAAGAAGGTTCTTCCAAAGAATGCAGCACTAGCCAAGGGAAAACTGGAGGAGGAAGAAGCAGCTTTTGAAGCTCAGTGATGTATCAGAATAAGCAAGTCACTTGTAAGATGGTGTGACCAAATAAAAGAGAATTTGACTGACTTGTTATGCCAGTGCTCCCAGGTGTGCCTCTGTTACTGGCAGTACTAGAAGTCTCTCCATATGTTTTATTAAACCTAAAGAGCACCAGCCTCCTGACATTAACTTTCTTTGCAAATCCTCCTGTGATGTCCTTTTCTGACGTGATTGTGAGAGCCTCTGATGGACATTCACTGGGAAGATTTATCTGTGCATGACTGTCTAATAAATCCAAGTGCCTCCAAATTTTGGGACTTTCATCTTTGATAAAAGAATGTGGAAGAGACCTCACCTTCCTCCTCCCTTTCTTTTTTTTTTTTTTTTTTAAGTGAGATGCAGTGAAAAGTATATTTCAGGAGCAGTTGTCTTTCAGACAATGAAATTAGATGTTTTTTTTTCTTTTTTTTTAAAGGAGGGCCACCAAGATGCTCCTATGAATACACAGACTGAGAGAATTGGGGTTGTTCAGCCTGGAGCAGAAAAGGCTGCAGGGAGACATTACAGCAAGCTTTTAGTCCGTGAAGGAGGCCCACAAGAAAGACGAGGAGGGAGTTTTTGCAAGGTCATGCAGTGTCAGGACGAGGGGGAAGGGCTTTAAACTGAGAAGGAGGCCCACAAGAAAGACGAGGAGGGAGTTTTTGCAAGGTCATGCAGTGTCAGGACGAGGGGGAAGGGCTTTAAACTGAGGGGAGGAGCCAAGGAACCCTCAAACACCCAAGTCACATCTGAGCAATGAGGTGGAAGCATCCTCTGGCTTCCGACCACCCCACGGGGGACGCGGGGCTGCCACAACCCTCAAAAGTTCAATCCCAGACAAGTGTATTTATCCGGGAAGCGCAGCCGGGGCCAGACCTGCGCTCCCGCCCTGGGTCGCCGAGCCCATGACGTCATTTTGCAGTTCCAGCGTTACGTTCGTCTCCAGCCGCCACCCCCCTGGAAACACCGGGTCGGGAATGCAAAAAAGCATCGCTCTGCCGCCGCGGCGGTGCCTTCCAGCCGGCGGAGAGCGACCCCAAGCCTCCAGCTTGGTCCTCGGGAAAATAACGATAAAAAAGAGCAGAAAAAAAAAGGTGCGGAGGCCCCAGCGAGGATCGAACTCGCGACCCCTGGTTTACAAGACCAGTGCTCTAACCACTGAGCTATAGAGCCACCTATCGCTTCAAGCCTTGCCGACGGCTCCTGACCCTTCCCGGCGCCGCCTCCGCGCGCTCCTGCCGGATTCTAGGGGGGGCCTCCGGCCGCAGCGTCCGGGTGGGCACTATCTGCCCGCCGCCCCCCGAGCCCTGCCCTCCGCCAGCGTGCCTGCCCGCCCGAGCGCCAGGGAAGCGGAGCGGCGTCACTCCCGCCGCTGGCGGTTCCAAGGCTGCCGGTCCCTTGGGGCTGTCTTGAGGGCGCCTCATGCTCAGCACCCCCGGCGCTGAGCCGGGCCCCTGGAGCCGCCTCGTACCCGTGTTTTCTGGGGCTGTAAAACCCGCTCCCAGGCCACCTTCACGACATTGCCCGAGCATGGCCGGAGCCCTTCCCCCCGTTGTCAGTGGGCGGGCGCACCTGCCGCCAATTCCGAGTTAAGCTGCCTTATTGGCGGGGGTGTTTTAGTGGTACCCTGAGGCTCACGAGAGGATCGCTCTCGGGAATGATTCCGCGTCTCCCCAGTGCTGCGAAGGAGGGAACAGTCCCTCCCTGACGGAAGGTTTTGGGAGGTAAGGCTGCACAGCGTGTGGTCTTGTGCAGACCGGCGAGAAAGAGTCAGTTTAAGTAGATTGTAATCAACTCGCTGTCGTAAAACCTATTAGGTTTTGTGAAATAACTGTTGCAGGAAAACTGGTTTAACTCTCTTGCAAATAAACCGCAAGTCTGGTTTGACTGGGGGATGAACCCAACAGCAGGATAGGCGTTGTGTGGCCTTCATTTCTCTCTTGATTTTTACTGAGCGAGGAAGTTTGAGGCCATTTGAGGATTTTCTGCTTTTCTTTGCATAAAAGAGCCCGTCTGTCACATGCAGACCTGCGCCATGAAAGCTTAGGTGAAGGTGAAAAGATAAGCTGTGGAGAGGAAATTGAGAGACACCACTACAGGGTAATAAACCTGAGCAGTTTAGCTGCACACTGGAGTAATGTTCTAGAAAAGCAGACATGATTTGCTAGGTGCAAGCCTCAAACTGTCTGTGACCAAAAGTAAAGCTGCTTGGAATAAGAATAGACAGAAAAAGCTGCATTAAGGAGTTAAAGACCTTTCATCCATCCCACACTCCACAAATCATGAACTAGGTCAACTTCCTCTTTTTATTTTTTTCCATAGTTTTTATTTCACTGTCTCTTTAAATGGATATGATCTCTGTGGACAAGCTAGGCCAGTTCTGGTGAACTCTGTCTTGTTGTTTATATAAGACACTAAAATTACTTTAAAAGATCTGGTTTTGACCTCCAATGTGGCAGCTGATAAATTCATGAAGTTTCACATTTCTTTGGTTGCCTTTTTTCCCTTTCCTTTGAAGATAGTGACTCTTTAGAGCTGGTAAAGCTCTTCCAAAGAGGGCTAAAATGTCTGTGGTGAGTGTTCTGCTAATGCCTCAGGGAAATGAAATACAAGCATGGCTTGTTTTATAACCTTAAAGTAGGCAGGAGCAGAACTGTCTTACCCTTCTCATGCTATAAGACAATTCTACGTTCATCAGTCTAACACATCTGAGCAGCAGGGTAAGATGTATTCTGAGAACAGAACAGTGTTGAAATAAGTCTTCTGTGATATCAAGTCTACCTGCCACCGCTGGGCTTTTTAACTCAGGTGCAAACATGTAACTGTTGTGATTTCCCTGCTTCCATGTTTTGCTGCCTGCTTAGAGCTCTCTGCAAGGGGGGCTGCACCTCAAATACTGTGTGATAAGACAGAGTCTTTCTTAGTCAAACAGCCTGGGTGGGATTCAGAGTGTGTGATGGTAGTACCATGCTATCAGTAAGCCTCCTGACTTCTCTCAGTAATGGAAATGAACTTCTGGGATGTAATTCATCTCACCTGGAGGTAAACCTCTACAATAAGTCATCTGAGTCGTGGTCTAGAGGTGCCTGTTTCCCAGCTGACTGTGATGGGGGTCGATGCTGACAATGTCAGCGATTCAGAGACATCTGGCTGAGTGTGACAGGTTTGTACCACTGAGATGTGGAAAGGGAGCAGGTATCCTGCTGAGATCTGGCTGGGACACGGCAGCTGCTTTGTACAACAGGCACAGCAACACTGCAGAGCTCCTGTCTGCAAGCTGCTAATGCTCTTGGCCAGTCCATACGCTCAGTTTCGTTAGCACAGGAATAACCTTTGGTTTAATTTGACACCTGTTTGATTTGGATGTTTAAACTAGAATAACTGTAGTTGGAAAATTTCCCTCAGAGGACCGAGAGAATTTTCAGCGAGATGGCAAGATAAATCATATGTCTAAGGAAGCCTCTATGATTCTTTCGGCAGCTAGACACACAGATGTGAAAATGAAGCACTCAGGTGATAAATACTTATCTAGTCTGCTGTTCATGGCTGTTGAAAGCCACTAGGTGGAACCTAAGGACTGCTTCAAAAGATGAGGAAAATCCTCTTAACAGACTTCAAATGTTGAAAAGTGGGGTTTTACCACACAGGTTTTTTTAGAAAGATCTGTAGGACGACTCACCTTTAAATGTATGCCAGACGTGTAAAGATGCACGTTTATATGTGCTCTGTAAAATTTCTGCTGATTTGCTATAAGATTCAACTGGTGCTGTGTGTCCCCTTGCTTAAACCAGGATTTTCCCAAGCATGCGTTCTTTTCACCTGGTTCAGTGAATTAATACTGAAAGCAGTGGAGGGCTAATAGGAACTGTTTGGTAAAAGCCCTGTGAGAGAAGCAGGCAGGCCCTCTGTGAACTGCCTGGCTGGTATGACACATCTGGCTTTTGCTTTCTTATTGGAAAGTTTTGTAAGAGATGCTCCCATGGCAGGGAGGAATGCTGGATGTTATTGGGAGCAGCACACAGAAAAGTTTCCCCTTCCTGAGAAAAGCTGTAAAGAAGGGACAGGGTTTGAAAGATATATCCCAAACCTTCTCTACACTGAGACAAAGCATCAAGCTAGAAAATAGGGTGGCTAATGTAAGAATAGGTATGGTCTTGCTCAGTCTGGACTAAGGTGTTATTAAAGAATGACTTATTTGTTGCTGATTAGCTCTGTGGCTGTCCTTAACAACCCCTCTGAACAAATACTTGTTTTACTGCTTGTAAAGATGGTATCAGTCCACAGATGTAAACCGCGTTGCTGTGAGCTTATGTCCATCTCGTTAAGCACAGTGAGCTAATCTCATGCATATTCCATATGATCTTATTGCCATATCTTGCATTTAAATGCTAGCAAGGAGAACTGAATGAAGGGAATGACTATTCAAAGAGCTGGTTCATGAATTATCCCTGGAAATTGTCTTATACTACCACATTCTCTTTTCTAAACTCCTTTGCCCAGCTTGCCACCCAATTCCCTGCTGAATTCAGTTTGACTGGTGTTTCACAGGGTTTGGTTCTTTGCTGCACAAACCAGCTACTCGTTTTGGGCTGCAATAGTACAAAATAAATACCAGAAAATATTTTCTCTGCAGACATGGTCTGTCTCCTAACAGGTTGTCATGGCTTGCCTACCTTTGTCCTCATCACGTCTGATTTTCTGTGTCCTGAGGGAAGCCTAGTGCGCCTGGGCCTACCTCATCAGATGTACAGAGCAGCAAATCTGGCATGCTTGCCTTTCCTTGTTAAGTTCTGTGAAAAAGGAATTGCAGCACAGCTTCAGTCTTCTTGTGAAATAGGATGTTCTGTGGGTTTTAATGCTTTGACGGGTTCAGCACTGTTGCCTTTGTTTCTTAAAGAAAGTCTGTAGTAAACAAAAGGTATTTGAGTTTAATGTATCCATTTCAATTGGCAAGTGCCAATGGATTACTTTGTCTTATGCAAATG